CGCTGACCTCTGGCTCGGGACCCGCCGCCGCCTCGCCGTCCCGGGCTGACGCTGCGCCGTCGCTTCCAGCCTCTTCCCACAAGCCCCCGGCGCGCGCGGCTTCCGGTCCGCAGGACGGGGGGCGGGGGTATGGGGGGGGGCGGCAGACGAAGCCCCGAGTTGCCATGGGGACGCGCGGCAAGCGGCGGGGGGAGGTGCGGCTTGATGACAATGGCCGCATTGAAGCTGAGCTTGGCTCGGGGCCTCGGCCCCGAGTGGGCGCTGCTCTGGGTTCCACTTCCCCAAAGGGAGAGGGGAGCCAGAGGGAGGTGGGCGGCGGTTTCGCAGGGGTCCCGTGCTCCTCCTAGGAACCCTCTTGGAGTAACTCACGAAAGTGAACATTTCTGAAAGCCCGTCGCCGGCGTGCCCGGGCACAATCGCTGCGCTCTGCGTGCAAATCATTTTCTTTACCCCCGACATCCTCTAGTGCAGGAACTTTTGCTATTCCCGCTTCAGGGCCGAAAGCTCATTGTAAGTAGCGAGGAAGCGAGGTTTGCACTCAAACGTGGCTCAAACCGTTGTCTCCCACGAGCCGCCTTACAAAGATTATGACAAGTTATCCAAGAAACAAGACGCGACTAGTTAAGAAGCTTGGCTAGTTGTCACAGGGAGTTTGCAGAATAGATGCATGCTGGTTATTTCATGCCAAAAAGCAGCTGCAGGCATCATCAATCAGACCACCTCTTTCCCCTATTTTAAACCCTCCGGTGGACCTCAAACGCCTTAACTATGACATTAAACAATTGTCACATTGTCCTGCAGGTCGTCTATGGTCTGTTGCCTACTTGTTCCCTCTGACTATGACTCAGGCTTATTGTGGCACCTCAGCCTCACTGGCCAATGCGCTTTCCTCCAAGTGGCCCCCATATGCTTAGGGACACTCTTAGATGTGATCTCATTACTTACCTGTGCTTTGAAAGTCCAGGAAAGGTTGGGTGGTCTCTGTCCTGGTTACCACAGTACTCCCACCTAGTCTTGGGATGCTGGCTGGTACATAGAAAACTCTACATTTTCTTTGAGTAAATGAATGAATTGTAGGCTGGTCACATTGGCCTTTGCTAGGTCACATGTCAAGTCTCAGAAATGGCACAAAAGAGCCCTGTTTTGGAAAGTCCTGTTAGAAGCATAGGTCGAGCCTTGCAGAACATTTCAAAGATCCTCAAGCTTTGCCTTATTGTCTCATTCAGGAAAGGGCCTCTGCAGCGTCCTGAGCCTCTGCTGGATTAGTGAATGGGAGCAGTAAACAAGCCTCTGACCCAACAGCGAGACACTTTATTCCAGCCAGAGCTCACCTTCCCATAACCCCTGCTCACTCCTTTCTTCATTGTGCAGCTTTAATCCAGCATTTTCACTCTCCGGTTTGGCTGCAGCCAGGATCCAGCTTGGCTGCTCCCTGCAACCTTTTGCTCTTCTGTGACTCCTAAGAACTAACTCAAAGCATACTGCCTTGATTCTTTAAGAGGTTTTACAGCAAATTAATTCCGGAAAAACAAAAACAGCCAACATACTCATGTAAAAATGTGATATTTTGTGATCTGCTTTGCCTCTTGATTCCATTCTCAGTCATTTTTAAAGTAGTAAATGGGTACCATTGTGAGAATTGCCTCACAACATCACTTCTTTGAAGGCACCCACTTTAGAAAACTGTCCTTTCCAGCCCTAGTCTGAGGACTTCTTTCCAGAATGGTAACCCTTGTCTTCTAAGAGATCTAGTCACACCGGAGCACCCTGGGGCTGGAGAGACCGCTGGTAAGAGCTCATACTGCTGTCCAGCAGCCCGTGGTCAGCTTCCCCCTCACACACCACCAGCTCTCGAGGTTCCAGCAACCTCTTCTATCTCCACCGTGCTTCACACACGTGGCACATACACAACACACACAAATACACACACGCGTACATTTAAAAAGTAAAGCTTGTCAGGCAGTGGTGGCCCACACCTATGCTCTCTCTCTCTTCCTCTTCCTCTCCCTCTCCTTCCCTCCCTCCCTCTCTCTACCTCTTGCTGTGGGTCAGATGTAAGCACTCAGCCACTGCCCCACCCTCATGGCTGCCTGTTTGCTGCCAAACTCCCTGCCATGATGGTCACGGACTCTACTACCCTCTGGAAACCTAAGCCCCAAATGAAATGCTTTCTTTTATAAATTGTCTTGGTCATCATGAAGTGGTGACACTTGCCTTTAATCCCAGCACTGGAGAGACAGAAGCAGGTGGTGAATTCGAAGCCAGCCTGGGTCTACAGAGCTAGTTCTAGGACAGAGAAACCCTGTCTTGAAAAACAGCAGCAAAAAAAGCTGGCTGGTCCTATTGCTTTGTCACAGCAGTAGAAAAGTAGCGAAAGCAAGACAAGGTTCCTGGAGCGGCACAGACTCCTGGACTCGGGTGAATCCCAGAAGTCAAACTGCTGGAACCATGGGCAGATCTCCAGGCTGGAGAGCTGCACCAGTGAAGGCTGGGGACCAGACCACAGGCCCTTCCTCTTCTGTCTTTCCTACGAGAATCCCATCAGGCTCCTCCAGGGTTTGTGGAAGGCATGTTGGTTACTCTGCTAACTTTGCAGACATTCTGCCTAGCAATAGCTCAGGGCTTTAGGGCTTAATCCCAAGGGTATGGGAATCTCCTTACAGATGCTCCTAAACTACACTAAAGATAGAAATGGAAACAAGACAAATTCCTCTTCCAACTAACCAACCAAGATCAGAAACAAGACTACAGAAGTACTGCCCTTGTCCTTAGTATCAACCACTTTCAAAGATCCCTTTCTTACAACAACCAAGGAGCTAAGACTCATTAACTCATGTATGTGAGTGATTTCCAACTTCTGAAAAAGCCTTGCCCAAGAGGGTGATGAAATGTTAATAAGAAAACAGCCAGGACTGCAAAGGACCTGCCAGAGAACAAGGACAAGAGAGGACTGAGAAAAGCGCTCTCCCTGGAGCAGGCTCAGAGAGCCCAAAGAAATGGCCTCATGGGAAAAAGACTTGGGTGTATTTTTCAACTTCTGGTAACTGTTAAAACTGTTACTTATGGGGCATACAATCCAGGGCCTTGTACATGGTAGGCAAGGGCTCTACCTCTGAGCTATCTCCAGGCCATGTTAGATGGACCATTTTTAAAAAGCAATCACATAGTCCTCATCTTAATGTATTCTATTTTTATAGTCTTTTATTAATCATTTTGACCATCAATATTTTTACTTAACTATTACTTTACTATTGAATACTCACCTTCTATCTGAATTTCTCAATTACAAGTACGGCCTGCAGGCACATCTCCATGAGCGATGCTTCTCCTTTCAGATTATTGGCTTCAAGTATATCCCAAGGCAGCTGCATACTGGGATCAAAGGAGAGAGGCAAATCCTGCCCTGTGTATTATCAAATAAATTGTAAAACAGAATGTCAATCGTAGTGTTACGGGCAACACAGTAATTTCCCAGGGCAGCAGTTTCTGCATGCATTCTTTTGCTAATAAAAAGGAAGAACATTTTAGTTTATGAATCACTAGTAATCAAATTTTAAAAATTGGACAGTGTGTGCACCAGTGTAAGTTCAGCCACAACAGAGAGACAAATCTTACCAGTGCCTTGTTTTCTCTCTCCATGTAGCCTGTGGTTTATCCCACCCCGCTCCAAACGCTATCCACAGCAGTGGAGATATGGCTGCGACATGAGTCCGGCCTGAGGTTTTATAAAGCTTACGCTACCAAATCCCTTTACACGGCAACGTGGTAGACTGCAAACAGTGACAGAGGAGACACGTTTTACACTGCTCTACAGCGCTTGGTAAAACTTGCTAAAGTCCTCACAAAGCCTTGGGAGGTTATTTTTATCACCCTGTTGTAAAAGAGGAATCTATCACAGCAAGATGAGGGAGGCTCCCAGGGACTAAGGGGCTGGGTGGAGTCTGTGGAGTCCTGACGTGACCCCCTTCTTAGAGGGTCTGAGAGTCAGAGGCCTGAGGCCCGCAACAACACACCCTGTTGATGCTAGGTCAGAACGAGAATTTGGGGCTGATATATCTATGGGTGGGTCGTAGAGGCTAAGGCAGGCTTCTGGAAGTAACAGGAGGGAAGCCCCCAACACACACTGCCAACCCAACACTTTTGATGGAATCAGTGCTTCCACAGTGCTCCCAGCCCCCCACCCCCCACCCCGCCACGCCCCGAGATGTTGGAAAAGATGGCCCAACACACATGGTGGCCTGAAGGAGCAGGGTCCCAGGAGCTGAGGCTACCCCACCCTGAGACAGGACCTGGGGGTTCCAGGGTGCCTCCCGGGCTGAGAACCAACTCAGCGAGCAACACAGGCTCTATGTGAGCTCAGAGAACACAGGCCAGACAAGTGCAGGTTGGGTGTGCAGGAGAAAACGGGAGGGGCGATGCTGTGGCGCGGGCCTGCCCAGGTCTGTGGGAGAATCCCAGAGAAAGCGGGCTCCATGCTGCTTAGGATTTTGGGGACCCGGATGGAGGCAGGCTTCGGATGGGTGAGGAGTTGCCATGGAGACAGTGCTCCGGGCTTGGGCTTTGGTACAGCCAGGAGATAGACTGGGTGGACTTGACCTCTCCTGAGTTCAGGGTCCCATGCCTCTCGCTCACATCAAACCATCGTCGTTTCTCAGAGTTCTGTCAAC